GGCCTTGTCGGCCTATGTTTCGAGTTTACTAATGGTCATGTCGGCCTTATAGGCCCGTATGTCACATATATTAGTTTGTATATCATATTGGGTCTTCATATGTTGAGTATTCCCTTATGTTTTATTCTTGTTATCTCATGATGGGTTTTCTGGCTCATTTACTCATGATAACATGATAAGAAAGATATGTTACGTTGGTACTCGGTTGAGTAAGGCACCGGGTGCCCGTCGCGGCCCTTTCTGTTTGGGTCGTGACATATTATATATATATATATATATATATATATAGTAAATATATATATTTTATATTTTTTTAACTAACGAATGCAATTAATTTTCACCGATCGGCTAATTTTATATTTTGTCCTAGTTTATTTAAACATTTGATCGTGTTATAGAAGTATCAATTTTTTTTTTCTTAGCCTAAGATTCAATAGTTAAAAAAAAGTACTTTGGGAATGTTAACAAAATTAAATAGGGAGAAATTTAAAAATAGCCAAATTTACAAGTGGTCATTAAAAAATAGCCACAGTTTCAAAAGTAATCGAAATTTAGCCACTTTTTATGTAAAGATAAATCTTAACGAAAACACTGTTCAAAATCCGGAAAAATACTCCAGCATATTATACTGGTCCAACATAATATACTGGAGTATGGAGCACTGGTGCTCTAGTCTTCGGTATATTATACTGGAGCCAGCAAAGTATATCGGTCCAGCATAATATGCTGGAAGTTCATACACAGGTGCACCAAACTCCAGTATATTATGCTGGACTGGTCTCTGTTGCAGCAAAATAGTGGCTATTTTTCATTGACATGGCAAACGCTGGCTATTTTTAAATGACCAGTCCGAAAACTGGCTAGACCGTGCTATTTTAACAATTAAATATGCTCATTCGCTAAGAAGATGCATTTATTTTAGTTAGATTAATTTAAAGCAAAACAAAATCATAAATCAAAATTAGAAATTTTCTATTGAAATCCAATCAAGAAAGAAATAAACAAAATAATTCACAAATAGCTTCTTTTTAATTTTGACATGAGATTTAGTTATTGTAAGAAAATCATATATCACCCAAATAGGAAAACTTTTAAAGAAAGCTTTCAACGTAAAGTTGTTGAAATAAGTCCTGCGTACCCCTCCCATGTCCCTATATCTTTGATCGCACAAATCGAATAAGAATTTTCTTTTCATTTGTTTCCTGAAAATTTCTGAATACCATGTCCTATGATCAGTACGCAAATACGACTAGAGAAGTTTGTTCATTTTTAAACAAGTAAAACGACTAGCGTAGTACAAAATGACATCATAGAATATCAGTACTGGATATTCTGCCCTACAGAAAGAAGATACAACGAGCAATGAATATATTACTTGTGTCCCAAAAGCAAATTTGATATAAGATCAAGGCATAAAAGAAATGTACCAAAGATTGTGTGAACTTGATTCTAACATTAATCTACTGGAAAAATAGGCGATAGCCGTTTGACAGAAATAGCTTTTCTAAGAACTGCAATCTCATAGGAATAATTGCAACATTCATATGCATAGTTGCCCCCTATTGTTAAATGATCCTAGCTTCCAAGGGGAAATTCTGATCGAACTTTTACCTATAAAACAAGGCAAACCTATAGTAGTAATAGCCAAGCTACCAAATCAAAATCTTGGCATGAAGGACTAATGGCTAGGAACAGCACGTGCAGCTTCTTCTAAGATTCTTCGAGCTTCACCATCAGGTTCAGCAAGCTCACCGGGGGTCTGCAATAGCCATTATTGAATCCATCAAACATCAAAAACCTCTTAACTACACATGATAGATATTACATCAGCTGCTAACCTTTCCATTTATATTGGTCCTAGTAGGACAAGACCCTGAAGCTAGTAATAACCTGACGACAGTTACATGTTCACCTCTGGCAGCATGATGGAGAGGCTTTTCAAAATCAACCAAACACGATTAGCGACAAGATGCTTCTGTACTGTTTAGTTCCACAAAACTAAAATCAAAAAAAGAAAATTTTAGAACCCTTACCGTATCACCTTCTACATCAACAGAGTCCAACATCCTCTCCACACATTCAGGGTCAGGAGCGCTGTTGATCAGCAGTTGGGCTATCTCCGTGTAGCCTGTTAAAAGTCAAATCCTCTTTATGGAAATGAATTGATATAATGCAAAGATATGACAATAGATGATAGTTATGACAATGAAATATCACTATGAACTTGGAGGCATACGACATACCGCCAGCACAAGCATCATGCAATGGGATTGCTCCATCTTCATCCTTAGGCTCCAAAGAAGCTCCTCTTTCTAGCAGTAGCTGGGCAGGAAAACATAATTAAGGGTGTTTGTTATCCTTTTGGTTATAAGATCATTAAGAGATCGAAAGATCAATTAAAATGGCGAATTCATGAAATAAAGTTAAGCAAGTGGACCAACCTGCACACAAGGGAGATGGCCATACAAACATGTTAGATGAAGAGCAGTGTCCCCATCTTCTAGAGGTTGATCAATGCTGCCACTCAAATTATCTGCGGCAGTCCATCAGGTAGAAACACGTGAATACAACAACAACCAGTATAATCCCACAAGTGGGGTCTGGGGAGGGTAGATGTATGCAGCCTTACCCCTACCCTGGAAGGGCAGAGAGACTGTTTCCGATAAACCCTCGGCTAAAGAAGTGAAAGAAGCCCTATACTAACTAATTAGTGGTACAGAATGAGGAGGAGAGCAAGTAGGAATGTTATTTCAGACATCACTGCAGTTGCAAGTCTTGAAACCAATAGATTAGCAGAAATGAGTGTATGAAGTAGAATTTCAAGACAAGTCCCTCAGTACACTGCTGAACCAATTGTGCGACCTACTTCGCAGAAAAATGAGAAGAACGTATGAAAGTTTGGGGATGATTCTACAGAGTTGGATGAGATGAGTGAGCAGATGAATCGCCAGAAAGGTGCACTCAGAAGGCACGAGAGAGGTATAAAAAATCATCTCTCTCTCATCCAAGCACGCGCGCGCACACACACACATCATTATATAGGAATGGCTTCCGAGTAGTCCAACTCAATTTCATTGCTACTCCTTCCGTCATCCTTGCAACGGACCAACCTTGTTCACATGAATCTTTGACAACAAAGGTGATGAAGCATCTTTTGGTACATTCCTTCTTTTTCGAAAGTTAAAGCATTTCGTCCAAATTTAGAACTATCTAAATTATAATAAGATCAAGACTAAGAACCACCAATGTATTCGGCCTCTGCCCCCACATAAATTTTGCATCTTTCAAACAATTAACCCGCATTAACAAACTCACTCAAATAGCCATGGAATCATTATATACCCGCCATTTTCAAACCGCTTCAAGCAATAGTCCTGGCACCACATACCATATCACATGCAACAACAGCTTACCACAAAAACTCATAATTATCCCAAAAGTTTAAGCAAAGCATCTTCAAA